TTTCGAAGAAAAAAAAAAAACATCAAAAGAAAAAGTAAAAAACCCCTCTCTGTCCCCCGCCGTTCCTCCACCGCCGCGGCCGAAATCTTAATTCCGATCAGATCCCTAATTCAGCTGTGGAGAAAAGACACTGACGCATCTCCGGCAGCGCGCACAATGTCGTACAGCGACACGATCCCGCTGAACGCCTCCTCCCAATCTGACATCGACGAGATCGAGAATCTCATCAACTCTCACCCGTCCTCCGTCCTCCCAGCTCGGCCCCCTTCCCCCACACGCGCCTCCATTCCGGTCTCCTCATCCCCCTCCGCGCCGCCACCTCCGCCGCCCACCTTCATCCCCTCCAACCTCCCGCCGCCGGCAGCTCCCAAACCGACGCCAGTAACCTCCTCCGCGCCGAAAGTTCCCGCCGCCAGCGGATCTGGCAGCTCAAGCGGCGGTATAGCGGCGTCTGGGTTCGGGTCGCCGCCAAATACTCTGACCGAGCCTGTTTGGGATACCGTGAAGAGGGATTTGTCGCGGATCGTTAGCAACTTGAAGCTGGTTGTTTTCCCCAATCCTTTCAGGGAGGATCCAGGGAAGGCTTTGAGGGATTGGGATCTATGGGGACCCTTCTTCTTCATTGTTTTCCTTGGCCTTACTCTTTCATGGTCTGCTTCCGTTAAAAAGGTGAATTCTAAACTGTCTATTTCGAGCTCATGGTTGCATTGTATCTATATAATTTTCTTTTTGTTATTGTTATTTGTTGAATTTTAAGTGCCATTACCTTTAGTGGATGGATACATGATTCCTTGGTGTTGGAGAAGTTATGAGATACGAGCATACGAATAATGGGTGTTCAATCATGCCAGTAAAATGTTAAGTTTGACTCTCGGTAGGCAATTACATTCTTAATATGGTTTATCCATAGCCCTATGCTTCAATTGAAATTTTAGCATCCCGCTTATGAATTTTTGGAACAGGCATATTAGTCAATTCAACTGTGATAGAGCTCCTCTGGATGGGTTTTTCATTTTCAACCTGTGTAGATTGAAGATTGATTGAAATGCCTGGTGATTTTGCAGTTATGGGCTATTGTGTTTGCTAACAAGATTTGAAGATCTAACTTCTTTAGTGTGTTCAAGTTGGAACCACAAATTAATCTTTTTTCTTTTGGTAGACAACACACTATCTTCTTATATTTATTCTTCTTTATTTGTGTACTATCTTTGAGCTGCATTTGGACTGTTGAGTAAGCAATCTTTCCATTTGTATTTTGGGGTTTAAATCTCATCAAAACTATGGATTAATATATTTGGTTGCTTAAGTATTTTGGTGTCGTTTAATAGGATTTTTTTTTGTGGTAGGTAATGGCGACTTAATCATTGCACACTCCTTTGACTACATTACTGGAAAGTATATCCATTTTTAACAAGAAAAAATGGGAAAGCAAAACCATTTTGCTTTCTGTCATGAATTACTTCAGTGGAAGTGTCTTTGGCCATTGGATATTCACGCGAATAGATTTTTCTTATGCAAATTGCTTCTTCCTGGTAGTGACAGATTGCATAGTTTCTTGTTACATTTTTGCGGCTCAATCTGGAGTTCGCATTTTGATATGAATAAGATCTATTCGGAACTCAATATTGTTTGTCTCAATGAGGGATGTCGTCTCAGCTTTCTTTTTCGGAAAATTGCGTGGCTCCTTTGCATATTAACTCCGATGAGAAGAGTTTATATTTTATAAATCTGGCGTTATCTGTGGCTGTCCTTAATAATTGCTGAAGACGTTAAATTACCCAATAAAAAGTTTGATTTTTGGTCGTATTACGTAAATACCAACTGTCTTCCAAAATCATGAGTTCTCGCTTTATATCTTCTGTTTTAGAAGGTGCATACTCACCAGGGGTGATTTTCTGTTTAGAAAATGAAAGTTCCAAATGTTTTTTGTAATACACGTGATACATATTTTTCTTTTCTAAGATAAACTGTCTGTTTCATATAGGTAAATCCTGAAGGATTTCTTGTTTCGCTTATTGTAACTACTGAAATTGCATCAAATTTATAGCCTCTGCTGCCGGATTTTATTGCATCATTTGTTGATTGGGATTGTATATTGGCTGGAACTTGACTTTGCTGAAGGGGTGAGAATCTGATGAGGTGTGGCAATGTGTTTTCATGCATACTCGTCTCCTAGGCGAACTGGAGACTGGTTCCCAGCCCAAATATTATAGACTCAATCCAACAGACCTGTTAAGACCAAGAACCATATCTGAAACCCATCAATAAACAAAATCCGTATCATAACAAAAAAGAAGATGAAAAGTTGAGGGGAATGTTCCAGCTGGAAAATGGAAGATTGAAAGGGAGTTTATGCCCAGTTAAAAAAATATATGGATTTCCTGCACAGCTAATTAAAATTATATGCTGAAAAATACATAATCTAATATGTGACGGAGGAGCCTTTTTCGACTGCTGGAAATATATTCCCAGGTGCTTGTACTGCTTGGTTTTTAGATGTTCATTTAGTACAGAATTTTCTGTTTGTACCCAAAGAACCCTTCTAGATATTCATTTGCTTATATAAGCTAAATCAATTGTATCAGGCTTGTTTTCCTAGACTATGAACCCCAGCCCCTATACGGCCAGATATCTTTTGTTTCTCAAATTTTACTCATTTACTAATCAACTGTAAAGCTCTCTCGATTTTGTTTCTTCAATTGGTTGAACTGAGGTGATGGATGGTTGGAAAACTTTATGTTGGCTTTGATTCGTCACATATATTGATCTGCAAAAACCTAGTTGCCGCCTATATTCTCTTGCTTGTACTCTGCTTATGCTTATCTCAATCTTTTGCAATTTGCACTTGTGTCTTAATGAGTTGTCTTTCATGCATCTTTTCGTGAATGCAGTCCGAAGTTTTTGCTGTCGCATTTGCCTTACTCGCTACTGGTGCTGTAATTCTGACCTTGAATGTCTTGCTTCTGGTAAAAAAACCTCTCTCTCTCTCTCTATCTCTCCCTCTCCCTCTCCCTCTCTCTCTCTCTCTCTATCTATCTCTCTCTCTCTCTCTCTCTCTCTCTCTCACACACACACACACAAACACACACACATTTGTATTGCATCCTCACGATCAATCTCCGCATGTTTGTAGGGCGGTCACATAATATTCTTCCAGAGCCTTAGTCTGCTGGGCTATTGCCTATTTCCCCTCGACATTGGAGCCTTGATCTGCATGCTTGTAAGCAACGTGATTGTGAAGGTGGTAATGGTGGCCGTTACACTTGCATGGAGCTCGTGGGCAGCATACCCCTTCATGAGCACAGCCGTTAACCCACGGAGGAAAGCCCTTGCCCTCTACCCCGTTCTCCTCATGTACGTGTCCGTGGGCTTCCTCATCATTGCCATCGATTGACACGCATCATGTTCAACGATTTGTGGTATGTTTGCATCACACTTAATGATTAACCTAATCAATATATAACTCTTGTGAAACCGACTAGCTTCATTTATATGTAAGCCTATACACAATGATTCGTGTCGATAACTTGTGAAGCTTTTTTTAATAAAGTTCGGATGTTAATGGAAATGGATGTGAGTATGGATGCGTGTACGTATGGAGATTTCCCATTTCAATTTTGTTGTTCGAGTTCGTGTTTCATTCCGTTGGATGAATGACAAGTGTGCATAACGATGTTACATTGATACAAGTATCATTCATCGGGTTTGGGTTGGCAGACTCGGATCTTATTCCGTATCTACACGGTAGACTTAAGTTAAGTGTGTTTTAGCAGTAATTGTCAATTTTTTTTTTCTTGTTTGTAGGAGTACAATAAACTAAAATTGACGAATTCTTCATCGGGTTTGGGTTGGCAGACTCGGATCCAAACTTATTTCATTATTTGGACCATTAAAACTGGACCTAAATGATGGATTTGGGGACCATTTGTCTGTAAAGAAATCTGGTGGACTCATATCCAGACTTATTTGAAGCACTATAACTGGGCCTGAAGAGGATGTATTGTGGATCGTTGCAATATTAAAAAAGAAAAGACTAGTTGGCCCATATATGCATATTTGGACCGTTACGACTGGGCTTGAATGAGATAAATTTGGGGACCCATAGGGACAATTAAATCTTTCTCAGTAGTATCGACTATCACGTGTCGTGAGCTTTTACAGGCTGTCTTTGTTGTTTGTCTAATTTGAGGCCAACAAACAGTCTACGGAAATCGGGCAGTATAAATCCTCATAACTTCAAGATATAGAAAAGCGTGATTTTTTTATTTTTTATTTTGATTGGTAAAGGAAGGTGCTCAGGCAGAGCTTGCAGTAAAGCTGAGCCCAATTTAAAACATTCTGATGTATGTAGACCTTGCAAAGGTATGGCAAAATGTGGTGCTCTATAATCAAGTGATCAAATGCAGTCCCAGAAGATCTTAAGTTAATTAGGCCTAACCACTGGGCCTTCATAATTTTTTTACAAATTTGATTTGTATGCTTTTATGAGTGAAAAAATAACATGGACTCCATTGTGGTGCGTGGAGAGTTTTGGTTTAGTTGAGGTGAGAATGTAATAAGAGCATCCGTCAGACAAACATTTCATGGTTGTTTAGAACGAATTAAGTCAGATGGTTTTGAAATCACAAATGAAATCGAATGCTTAGAAGAGATTTAATGAATTTTTGATAAAAGTATGAAATTTGATGATATAAGTATATTTTTTTGTTCACAGCATTTGACTAATGGATCCGTATTATAGTCAGGTCTCATATAAGAACTCAAGTGCAATTATCTGCAAATTACGCCTGCTTAGTAAACCGCTTTAATTAGTTAATGCAATTAGGTGAAATAACTTTTTGAGTATAACTACTCAAATTAGGAGAGAGTCAGAGAGGTAGTCCTTGTTACGTGTATACCTACGCGTATTATATATGACTAGGAAAATAAAGAAGGATTGTTTAAGAAAATAAAGCAGAATCAGAATTCAGTGGTTATAAAACTTCTCAAGGTACTGAGTACTGATACCAAACAGAAGTTGCAGAAAAAAAAGTCTTAGAGAGTGTGTAGATGCATGCATCTGACTCGTGACTATTTTTTTTTAATTTTCTTCTTTTTGTTTCTAATTGTACGAATGTAAACGTGTAGAGCCGAGTTTGAACTCCTATATCCGAGTTCGGACTTGAGTCTTTATCAAGCCAAGCTCAAAAGTCAATAAACAAGCTCGAATGCTTATTTATCATCATTAACAAATCGAGCTCAAACCTTAATGAATTGGACTATAGAGAATTACATAAAATATATATTTTCGAGTCTTAACGAATTGATCGAGGTATTTTGCGAGCTCGAACTTGGGCTCGTTTCGTTTAACAATTCTATCCGTAATCAGCTTGTTAAAGTTGTTGAGGATTTACATACAAGTTGTATGATGTTTCATCTGCCCAAAAATAATAATAATAATAAATAATTTAAATAGAACAAAGTGAAAAAGTCGAGTGTGGTGTGTCTTGCTAGAGCTTACTCACAAAGCAGTCCCATATAAGATTAAAGTGCATGCATGTGATAGTATCAGAATCAACTTTTTCAAGAAGTCAGATACTATTTATGGGATTGTGAGGAAAATTTGTGCTCTATATAGAAAAAATTGGGCCTATATGTTTATCAATTGAAATGTCCTAGTCGACTTACAAAGTTGGACATAGTAAATTAGACATTGTGACTGACAATAAAACTTAGGGGAATTTTTATCTCTCCTACAAGATTCCTCAATATTTGTAACTCTACCATGGTAACTAAAATAATAGCGTATCTATCTAAATCAACATATTTAATTAGATTAATGCTTAGAGCATCTCCAATGCAACTTTTAACATTATAAAAAGTCATCCATATCATCAACTTTTGAAAGTGTGTCTCTATTTTTTTCTCCAATGCATCTTGTCATGAACTCTTTCATGATGAGGTGGATGTCATTTAATGTTGACAATGTTGAGCACACTTTCTAATATCTAACACCATGTTAAACATGATAACTCATCAATTTACTTTATATTTGTTTTAATTTTTTATTTTTTTTGTATCAATGAATTATTTAATTGGTCCACCTATACAAATAACTTTTTATCAAATTGATGCATTGGAGATACTAGTTTCATTAAAATTGTCTTTTAACATTATTCCAATGTGGATTAACATTACAATCACTAATTGACATGTGTTAAAAATAATGGTCTTTCACACTTATAGCATTGGAGATGCTCTTAAATCAGTTATCACATCATTTCCAATGATGATGCCCTCCCCTTTTTATCGCTACATATTTATGGAATGCATATATAACTCAAAAACAGTTTGCCTAAAATATAGGAAGATCAAATTTTCTGGCGATATACACTATCAGAAGATAACTAATCTTTCTGATATAAACACCGAACTAAGCACAAGATCAATCGTGTATATTTATTTTTTTGACGGNTCATCGTGTCTTGTTTTTTTATGTATATTTATTGTATATTTTTTGGTTTTGTCATTATTTTGGTTTTTATTTTGTTGGTTTGTATAAATGACAGATACGACTTTGATGATCTTCTTCCTTTACAGTAGTGAATGGGTTCATAATGAGTATATATATTGCCTAGACCCGCAACATATACGACTTTGATTTTTGTTGGTGAATGGGCAACGAAAATATATACTGAACATATACTGCATATACCCGCAACATATACTGTCGATTGTGCTTTCGAGAATATATACTAAAAAATATATTGTATATAAACACAACATATTCCACAACATAATAAATCAAACGAAAATAATTCTTAAAAAAAATCATCAATGGGATCCGTAGAAGGAAAATATTGACCCCTCGGCCAAGCCGCTTTTTCTGTTCATTGGATTGATAGCTTTTCCCTCTTCCCAACCAGCATGAAGTCTTATTTTGATTGAGCCTTGTAGATAATTAACTAGATAATTAATCCTTCCGTCTTCACTTCTTCTTTTTACCTTTCTTCGCCGCCGGAGTCGAGTCGACCCTTGCAGTGAGTCCCTTCTTCTTCTTCTTCTTCTTCTTTTTCTTCTTCTTTTTCTTCTCTGTAATGATTTTTCTCTTCTTCGCTTATCATCTGCAAAAATCAATCAGAAATTTTGAGAACGAAGCCTAACGAACAAAAAATAAAAAAAGATTCTATGCGTGAAAACGGGACGGAGGTGTCTAGAGAGAGAGAGGAAGATCCGGCGTGAGTTAGGGTGTATATTTAAACAAAAAACTGGCAGTGCAAATAATTATGGTAATTTTGGTAGGATTGCAAATAAATATATATGAGATGTATATGTGTAATATAAATACTAATGACTGGTATATGGTGCAAATTTCTCTAAAATCTAAAACTTATGTACAAGTTTTTAAACGTTTAATATGATGTGGGATTGAATAATATTATGTGAGTGAGTATTATGTCAAGTACTGTCATTTTTTATGTTTGTGATTGAAACTTGAAAGATATACATGTATTATATGATGCAACTTTTAGTCCAATGGAATATAATTGAATCAAAACATTGGCCATACTGAAAATAAAATTATAT